TGGTATGAGTCCAATTCGGACGGGCTCGGCCGACTCGTTCGGTTTCGCACCTTACACGATGAACGGGTTCCAGTCGCAGCAGCAATATTCGCAACTTCCATACCAACAAATGACGCCACAATCTCAATATCAGAATTTCCCAGCTGCAGCCCCTCAGCGTTCCAACAGCGGGTACATGCCCAACGGTTATGCTGGCTACGCAACGCCGCCTACGACCGTCGATCCTTTTCGACCGTTGCAGAACCAATCATCCTCACCTCTCTCTTTCTCGGCTCAAATGAGTCCCGTCATCGGTTCGACTGGTTTTCCCCCGCAGAGCTTTCAGCAGAATATGCCTTCCAACATGTACAATTATCCTCAACAACAGTTTTTCTTCTCTCCACCAATGCAGACAGTCCATTCTGGAGGACGAGGTCGTCGGGTAATGTGCAACCCCTTCTAACCTAGTTTCTAGTGCTAACTTCCATCAGAGATAGAGAACTTCATCTGCACACCAAAGAACCGATCACCCTTCTTCGATGATGAAACTTGCTTGATGCCTTGTTGCCATGTTTCATCCCTTTGATCATTGTCCAAATTCACGAATCTCATTTGGTGCAACACGTTTCGAAAGACTTGACAAGTTTGGCGAGCATATAACATTCTAGTGCAATACATATCGGAAAGGGGCAACTTCCATGATACCCGGCGAGCGCAAAAGAGGAGTTTCTTGAACCTAGTATGGAATGATGTTGCATCATAGTCACCTATCTATGGTGGCTATCTGGTGTTTCCTACCTATTGCACGCTCGCTTTATTCGCCTTACGTTTCTATATTCTATGAGAGAGATTCACTTGCAGCTATTGGATTGCTGCTCCCTTGGATCTCGCGTGATGCATTCTGTGCCGTGCGCAGACCCGAAGAGAATGGGCAAACAATGCTGGAGGACACGCATTCTGAAAAGAGCAATGGGGAATGGGGAACCGGTTTAGAGGCAGAGGCTAGGGCGTCAAGAAAAGGGGCATGTAAGCGTGATAGTGCCTGTCGAGGACGTCTCTTCTGGGATGTCGTCTGTGCTGGGCTGGAGTACCTCGTACACTCTTCCAACCGCACGGCCTTTTTTTTAGGCGTGGGTCATATTGATCACTTTTAGAAAGCTTTTATGAGCGAGACAATCTTTGTACAGTGGGTTGGTTTCGGCGCAAGTTGCATTCCACACACAAAATAAAAAAAGCAATACAATCAACAAGTGATGAAGTGTCTCTTTCTTTGTTGTTTTCTTTCCCCGATTGTCCTCAATTGTGATGGCTTCTGTAGAGGAGACTTGGTAAGCCGGTACTCGGTAGACTGGTTGACGAGATATACATAGAGAGAAATATAGAAGACAAAGAACAATTGATTTATCTATCTCCCCCGAGGTACCTTGGTGGGTACATGGCCCTATTTCGGTTCCACGTTACACGGTATTTTATCTCTTTGATTGTCTTGTCTTGTCCATCCAAACCGTTTTGCTGAGTATTATGTATGTGGTGCTTGTGGACAGCCAGCCCTTCTCGAGTCTCAAGTCACAAGTCACTAATTTAAGCGTGTCTGGCTAAGATAGGGTGGGCGCCAAGGCCGGGGGAGGGAACATCTGAGTACCTAGCGAGCTAGGTATCTATCTGTACGAGGTATTTTGTGTTATGTGGATGAAAATCGTTACTGGGGACCGCTCACTCACTCACTCACTCACTCACGCAATCACTCATTCACATTTGTTACATAGTCACTGATAGACTGGTAAAAAGATGGACTCGCAGACTCTTTCAACCCCTGAGTAGGTAGGTAGGTAGGAATCTTTACCGCTCAGGGACTAATCTGTGAAAAAATTCGGTGGGTAATTGCCAGTCGCTCGGTTCATGGATCACATGAAGATGCCATGCTATCATATCCTCTTCCATGCCCTGACATGTAGTACCTCGCTCAGAGAACTCCAATTGTGAAGAATGGTATAGCACGGCACTTGATCCCGGTCTCGACAATCATTGAATCCCATGTGCACGAAACAGTTGTTGGTGGTCGGGCCACATGCTCCTTCGACGCTGCACATGCGGCGTACGCCGGTGGATAGGTGATGCCCAGATCTCAGCGGATCCAATTCGAGGCAATGCCACTGAGCAAGCAGATAATAATACCGCTTGCAGGTCCAGTCAGCTGCGTGTTGAATACGCGGATGAGCTGGGGTGGTCAGGAGGCCAAGGTCTTTCTTTAGGCATCCTGACCGATTCGCGTCGCATCATTCGGTCTTGAAAAAAAAACCCCCCACAAGACGTGGTTTGCTCTGTTTTGCCAGATCTTGACCGGTTACACTTGGCCTCGGAAGGAAATGCTGGTTGCGGTGTAGAGATGGAAGGCATCCAATCGTCCCTCCAGCGCTTTTTTCCTCTTGTTTCTGCAGACCCAATGCAGAGTTGAGACGGTATCCGACTGCCTTGAGAAAGCCCCCTAGTAGCCAAGAAGCAATGCTTGCCTGAAGAGGTCGCCAACTACAGAATCCTCCAGTGGGAGTGTAGAGGGTGGAGTGTGAACAGATCCTTGCCTTGTTCCAGTCGTCTGTGGTGTCAAAATATCCCTTGCATTCCATATAATTGGTCATCAGTAGATAGTGCATGAGGCAGTGCGTGAAGCTAAGCGCTCGTAAGTCTGGTAACCAATGTCATTTCTCTGTTGGTAACTGTGTATCATGGTCTGTGGGTACAGCCTGAGGATCGGATGGCCGGGCTCCGAACCTGACCTCTGGACAAAGTCACCGGTTGAAATCCTAGTGTAGATCCACAGCCCCGATCTCCTGCTTGGGTGCGATTCTTTGAATTGCGTGGGAGAGCCAGACTCTAGCCGACACATAAAGTCATGGTAGGCCAACAGAGTTTCTGGGCCAGGCAGAAAGGCTAAGAGTTGACCTTCCAGCTGGTCCACCTGGCATGAGATATTTGAGCATTCGCCAAATCAGGTCGCGTGGAGAGATGAGCGGGTAACCATCACAACCTAGGCTAGCCACAACACCCTCGAAATTGAAAGAGAGGTGAGGAGCAACAAAAGTACTCCTTCAGCTGCGGGTCCCAATCCTGTCAACACCCCTTGCTGACCTTGGCATAGGACAGCAATGGTGACGAGGACAAAGTCAAAAGGAAGCAGGGTTGCAGACGAACACTTGATATGTTCGGGCAGAGCGAGCGATGTCCCAGCATATCCCGAGCCCCATACAATAAAATCCCTGACAAGATGCACAAAGATGCAACGATCGAGGCGAGGTATATGAGCCAGATCGGCGGGCGGCAAAGCTCGGATTCAGCACTATGCTCGCCCCAAGCTGTACCGATATCGATATACTGGTGTTGAGCTAGGGCTTCATTCCCTCCCATGTCATAAATCCAGCTCGTTGGTTGGCCTCTCAAGGCGTGACTAGTTTTCCGCTCACTGAAGCTGTTTTCACTGGCTGAACCGCGACGAGGATGTAGAAGCCATATCCCATGGCGATTGGGAAGGGCCCCTCTTCTGACATTGAACAAGCGCTTGGACCAAGTCTCAAAACTCAGATCGACGGCGTCAGACCTCGAAACGATCGGTGGCACAGACAAAAGTGAGGGGTTTGCGTCTGCAAGGCGAAAAGTCGCCGTCAGGACCCCATGCTAGCCTCCACAATCTAGTCAAGCCCGAAACCAAGAGTGCTGAAGCGGAGCGAAATACCATCTGGCCTCGAACAAGGGAATGCCATAGTAGAGACCGGCCCCCATCAATGATCTTCTGTCGATATCGACCTGGCTATCATCGTCTAGGAACACTCTGATATTCGTGGCCTTGACCGAAGCGATGAACGATACGGCAAGCGAGATTCAGAGGAGATCGTCATCATTCTGCATGCGCGGTCCTTGTGGTGCCAATCTAGGGAACTCGCTGAGGATGAAGAGCAGATGACCTAGATGCAATGCGGGCAGTCAAGTTAGTTGAGTGGAGTCGGCACATGTCCAGGAGGCTGCCGCATGCAATGTGTTCCACTCATGCAATCAGAGCGACGCGACTGTCGGTTGCGGATGCTAGCCTCCCTGATCCCGTACAAGGGTCTATTGGCTCTCTAAAGCCCTGTGTGACCTGTCGTCTGCACTCGATTTTTCGGATCCAACAGCAGCTGCAGAGAGACTGCCACCGTCGTCCTCTTCGGCAGCGAACGCTAGGCTGAGATACTCGCCACATTGTTTGTTCGTGTAACAAGCTAGGGGTTTCGGGCTCCTAGAGCACTGTGGAGAGTAGCTTTCTGCTCTGATTGATCAGCCTTTACGAGGTGATGGCCTCATGGCCCGTGCCCTGTTGCTCCACAATCACCGCGAGACTGAAGACGGGATAGTCGAGAATAAGGACATACCCATTGGAAAGAGATGCAGAAACTCTCCAGTGTGCGAAAGAACCTGCCTACCAGGCAAGTTTTGATGTCTGTCTTCGTCGTATCGCTCGTAAATTGTGGAGACTCCACGCTGGACTGCCTTACAAGGCCACAAAAAATGGAACCTGGTGATTGAGAGGCGCCGGTCCGAAATACTGTTACGTTCATATTGGTGTGCACCAGATCCCTGATCTGTCGGGTAGACTGTTCGGACTTCCTACTCCTCGGGGTCGGAGGCCGTTCATCTTTGGGCCTAGTCTGGCGTATGGCCGTCCAGCCTGGATTGCTGTACGTCGCAGACTCCTGGCGATACCTCAGAAATACAAGTTGTATGCATCACGCTGGCGTGAACCACTCTGTCGGGTCGACTTGAGGGCCTATTAAGGTCGCTGCGTTGACCGCCATGGATTCTGCTGCGTTTCTTGTGCTCCTCTCCTCAAAACAGAAGGATCATTGTCTCTCCCCTCCTTATCGATTCCTTCTCACTTTCCCAAGTCTGATCAATCTGCCTGGTTCTCCTGGATTGAAAGCACAGCCCAAATGTCTTGTTCTCCACGCGATCATGACCACGGGGTACAGAGAGTCCGTGGGAGGCTCGATAAAATGAGCATTGCATCAGTCTTGAACGATAGTCAAGACGAGGAACAAAAGACCGACGACCAGACAAGCCAACCCAACGAGGTCCAGTCAATAGACGATGGCACGGACAGCAGAGACTTCACCGACTATTGTCCAAGCGAGGCCACGTCCGCTAGCTCTTTTGAGTCATCGATCGCGGGGCGAAAGCGCAGACGTCCTCGTCGGGGCTGCAAGAAATACACAAATGAGCAACGATATTTCATTTGGTATCACCGAACAGACCTGAAGGAAGCCTGGGACGACGTCGAAAGAGAGTTCCTCCGTCAGTTTGGCGAAGTCAGAAAGAAATCTGGACTCCAATGCAAATTCTATCGCGTTCTCCACGAAGCAAAGGTCGAAAAAGTGAGAGAACAAGCAAAATCCGGACGCAGATATCGAGGAGACCTTGTCGGCAGGTTTGGAGTGGTGGACAGAACCGCCGAGCGATTTGCCTGGATGCGACCAGAGGATCAATCGAGACCTCCTCTGCCGTGTTTTGCCACAGATGACTGCCGAAATCCGACTTACAAGATTTGTGCCTAGGAGAACAAGATATGAGTGGGAGCTTTATTGTCCAGTGTTATATCGTGATGACAATCATGGTAGGCATTGATGGGGTGGTCTCCAAAGTTCCATGAGAAGTCATTTTAGGATTCAGGTTTGGTGGTTTCGCGTGGTAATGAGTAGAGCAGGACGGCTTAGTGTCCTCGTCGGCGGTGATCTGGGTTTTTGCGGTTGCATTATTGATTGATACGGGTTCCAGGAACGATCGCCAGTCTTTATCGAAAAGTATGATCATCGCCGAAGTCCTCTTGGTCAGATCCATAGGTACGATACTTGTACGGGTTATACCCGTACTCATCGTCTGAACTGACTTCTTCTTCCGGGTAGTCATTTGCGGGATTATCCTCAGCTGTCCAGAGTCAGAATGTCAACGTTACGAATATCTCGGTTGCTTACCATTTGAGTCCTCTTCGTCCCAATCAGTGTCGTCGTCACTATCGATGTATTTTTGCCAGAGGTCCTCGTCTTCTTCGTCAATGACGAGTATTCCATAATTGGAGTTGAGACTTGTGGTAGTATCTGGACCATGGACCTGAGCATCGTACTCCACGCGGACATAAGTCTCGTAGACGTATTCCTCCTCTCGATCACGAGAAGTCATCATATTATCCTGGGGTTTCAAGGGAGGTGGCGAAGGAAGCACCACTTCGGCCACTTGCTGCACATCCGGATCGAGCTCCATCGCAAGGGCAGCCAATTCATCCGCAAGCTGATCAGATTCGAGATCCCAAGTGCTTGGATGGTCTCTGATAGAAGTCCCGTTCCTAGCTGTTCGGGAGCCTGCCTGAACAAACGTACTCGTCGTGCTTCGCCTAGATGCCTTCAAGGCTTCCAGGGTCGGTTCTGTGACTCGGTCCGATTCTGAAACCCCTACCCCGTCATCTCGTTGGATTTCCAGCACCTTATCAACGGGTTTTTGACGATACAGCGGATTCTGCTCGTGGCTGAAGATGGGAGCGTGTCTTTCAACAAAGGTAGCGAGAGGGGGACGAATGAAGTTCTTGGGTTTGCGAATCCCACCAGAAGCGCTTGGACTAAGCACTGACGAAAGGTGACGAGTGAGGTGGAAACGACGTGTTTGGTGGAGTGCTTGACTTGGGGCAGGCGTGTTTGGAGGAGCTGAACTGCTGCCGGGATCCTCGGCGTTGTTCTCAGACGCTTTCCTACAGTCCTCTTGTGTTGCAACATCTTCTTCAGCGGGAGATTCCCGGGACTCCTTGGGATCTTTTTTCAGATCGCTCGGTGAGCTGAGACGAATGGGAGGAATACCAGGAGCAGTAGGCTCTGACCACACCGCTTGAGGGCTGGTTACTCGCTGAGAAATGGGGGCAATCACATTGGGCTGGACGCGTTTAAAGTAGAATTCCGTGACTCTCCGCTTTTTGTCTGGGCCATTGCCGTGTTCGAGGTCTGGTGGGATTGGATTAGCTCTTACTCTGAGGGTGTAGATGGCAGTGGGAAATACATAGTGCCTCGACAGGTTCCTCCTGTCTCCTGCGCTTCACGCTGATGCGCTCTGGAGGTAATGACATCTCAGCAGTGGGGAGGCGCAGACACTGCGGCGTGTTCAGTTGCGAGTTAGAGCACTGCCTCTAAGAAGAAACGACATGAATATCGGCGTCTTGTTTGGGTGTGAACAACAGCAGGACAACAGTGAATGATGTTTGGCTTCTGTTCTGGGAAAATTCGCCGGGAAAGATTCTTCCCCGCACAATGTCATTCCGCAGTTTGTTGATCAGCGCAGCCAGACTGAGCCAGTCATCATCAAGTTACACCAATTTCCCCTCCCCCGTCCTCGTTGGTCCTACTGTGATTACCCATTGTGTCCGGTCTATCCCACTCATTGCTCTCGCTGGTTGAGAAATCGCGCCTCAGAAGAGGCATTCTCGTCAACAGGGAATGGTAGCAGACCATTCGGTCGCACTGGTGGCCCGCCCAACGTCCTCATCAGTCCCATAATCTCCCCCTGCTGCTTGGCCTTCAATAACCACAGTTCTTGCGCATGCCTGGTCTTTATCTCTTCTGGTGCTGCTCGACTATATCGCTGTAAGGCGTCAACAACAGTGAGGAAACCCTGATCGCTACTACTGACAAAGCGGCACATTTCTCGGTGGTCTGCCGCAATACCGCAGCGCTCAACATCGGGAAGGCCAGGAGCAGCACTGCTTTCATCCACAATGTACGAGGCACCCAATCCAGGGATCGAAGTGCGTTCCTGTTCCCACAAAAACATGAGATGGAAGTTTGACATCAGGGCGACGAATTGATCCGTGATGTTTTGCAGCGTTTCCGACTCTTCCTCAAGGGCCTTTGACAAATTTGATTCAATACGCAGTATCCTCTTCGGGATTGTCAACCTCGTGACCTTTTGTAGGCTATTGAGAAGCTGTGCCTTGCTTGAACCATTGTGTGGGGTACCGAAGAAAATGATACCATAGGTACAGGTGAAGATGGAACGAAGATGCGAGTTTTTCGGTCCTGCCCGACTTTCTGAATATGCCAGTGCCTGGACATGTCAACCTTGATCAGCAAATATGGATGAGGGATAGCCACAGCAGCGGTTTAACCTACCCTCTTGACAACGATGCCTCCGAGAGAGTGGCAAACAAATATTATGGGCTTCTCGCTGGTACCATTCAGCTGGAAAATTGCAGTCAGCAATCGGATTTCGTGCCATGTCCGGGCAACTGCAGGATCTGCTCACAGTTCTGTCCCCCTGCAACTGTTGCACCAAGCTTTGGGCATGTTGGAGTATCCGATCCGAGCTTGTTGGTCCTTTCAGGGACGAGATATTCGCGTTGTAACCCCAGGTCAACACCCTTGCACGGCTGATATATTTTGGAAGGAAATCTTGGTGCTTCAACCAGCAGATGGGCTCGTCTCCCTTTCTAGGATTCTCTGCAGTCCAGGTGTTGATGGCGTGGCCATTGAGACCGTGTACGGCGACGATACTGTCCATCTCAGTATACTAAAACAATAGGAAATGGCTCGGGATATCCGGCTCAATCTCACGTACTCTACTTCGGGCTCTTCCGTTTGAGGTCGATACAGTTCGCGAAACCCAAACACCTGTTGTTCTGGTATATTCGGGCCCATGTGGACTACTTCCCGTCAATTCTGCTTTAAGCTCATGCGTTAGTGAGAAGGTACTTGAATACTGGAAGGACAGCTCGAAACTTTTATAACCTCTGGTAGGCAGCGGAGTAGGCAGCAGGTAGGACTCCCTGACCTGGAACTGGACCGCTTTGTGTCTGGACGACTGAGACAGAAGCGTGCACACCGCATGATTCTCGATTGACGCCTCGAAGGTTATTATGAGGCTTAGACGCCGGCTATCGAGGTCGACCAGGGTGAAGAGACAATCAGCTTCCACCCAGCCTCTAAGTTCTGCAACAAGGTCTTGGGTCGAGGTCAGCTCCTTCTGAAGCCAGCCCTTGTCAGCCCAGCAAATGGACAAAATACCCAGCGACCTATCCTAAGTCTATCCTGGCTGCAGAATGTAGTCCTTTGCGAGCCACTACGAGCTACAATAAGCGCTACAGAAGCTCTGTCAGGCTGTCTCTCGGCCAATGGAACATTCAAGCAACATTCTCGCAAAAGATCTGCTATCGTCGGACGTACTTGACCCTACAGCCGTCGGCGCTTGACAAAACGAGCGTCAACCTTTGTTTCTCCTGGCCTAGACGTTCAACGATCTCGCCGTCCGGCAAATCAAGGCTGGAACATGCCTGAAGCAGCCTCACTATGGTATACGAGACTTCCATAAGTGCAAAATCTTCGCCCAGACACTGTCTCGGTCCGCCGTTAAAGGGGAAATATGCCCAGCCAATCTTTGCGAGTCCGTTGTCCTCCCACCTTTCGGGGCGAAAGTCGTCTGCGTCCGACCCGTATATGCTCTTTACACGGGAATTGACGTACTGTGAGAACACGACTACTTCACCTTTTCTGACCAGAATCATTTGCTTCCCGTCAGGTCCTCCACCCGTTGGTAAGAGGGTCGTTTTGATAGCCTGCCGGTTGTTCAGAGGCACTGGCGGATATAAGCGAAGACCTGGGATTCATTAGCCAGCTGAGACAAACATACCCTGCAGACTTCAATCATGCAACTCACTCTCCTTGATGACGCACGCGAGGAACGGCATTTTACGGAGCTGTTCTCTCGACGGATGTATACCGTCGCCCATGACAGTGGTAACTTCTGCTCGCAGGCGTTTCATAACCTGAGGATGGCGAACAAGAAGACGACTTGGTCCCATGACAACTTTCAGCGTGCTGATGCGATTTGATTGATGGGTCAGAGAACAAATCTTACAATGTCCACGACAAACAACAGGCCGTCGTATCCCGACCTGCGAGAAGGACGTTCAGAAGCTGGTCTCTCAGCTCGGTTCGGCTTTTCGACTCATTGGCTATCTGGTCAATGAAGCTGTACGCGTCTTGGCTCTTCTCGTTGGAGATATGCCTCTGCTCGATGTAACGTTCCACATAGGCGTGGACAGTTTTGCAAGCTCGCCGAAAGGCTGGTGGGTTATACAAAGTGTGCCATGGAGCGATGCGGAACCGCTTTGCAAGCCCTTCTTGGGCCAGATTGAAGCTCTTGGAGAAGTCTCGATTTTCGGCGTCTTGATCGATATCTGCTCTCAGGCTGTAGACCGACTTTCCCATCAACAGAGCAGTAGTTGTGTCCAAGGTGAGGCTAAAGAATAAGGGTTGCAGATCAACCACTCCCTGATCCGGGAGACGGCTCAACAGATTGTCAACATGTTCTTGGAAGTGGCTGAGATTCTGATACTGTGCTCGGACAAATTGCTTGCGCAAAAGTTCCCGGGAATGTTTCCAGGCAGCACCCTCTTGCGTAAATATACCCCGGCCCAGGAGAGGAGCGAAAATCTCTGCGCGGACTCCAAAGCCGTAATCTATTTGGCACGCATCAGACACATGTACCCAAATGAACGAGCGAGCAACCGATGGCCTTTCCTCGAATGGCGACTCACCTGCAAAGTTTGATGACAAGACGGCCTCTAGATTCCGGGGTTCGAGGATGTGAAAGGTACGAGGGCCAAAGAGCAGGTATTGAGAAAGCATATTGCGAGGCTCATAGTCCTTTGCGATGGAGCAGAGGAACGGCAGAAGACGACCTTCAGCATTCGAGGTCCATAATCCACGCACCCAATCGATCCCCAGGGGCCATTTGTTCGGGAGCTCTGGAGGTGGCATGCAATGCATGCGATGGGCAAGCGCCGAATCTCTCTGTAGTTGCTCAGAATCAAACAACCTCTTACTCCCTCACGTCTTGGAGATCTTACCTTGTAAGCGACCAGCTTGTTGACGCCTGGGTAAAGGATGAAGAAGAACGGGCATAGCAGCAGGGGCAGGAGTAGGGGCAGGAACATGCTCGCCCTCGATGTCGTGTCGTCTCCCGACATTGTCTCTTTCCTTTGAATGGCAAACACGCGACAGGCCTCGGGGTTCCTAGGTCGACAAGAGCCACAGGACTTCCATCTGGAGAAGCAGATCCCGTTCTGAGGCGCACGGACCGCATGAGATAAGCAAGGACCTCTCGAGGGAGAGAAATCTCAACCTGTCAACCTGTCAAATAGCCTTGGCTGGGAGCTGAAAAGCTTGACAGGTTCTCCTCAATATAATATCCGACCTCGACACGCACAAGACCCACAAGATCAGAAGCATCTCTTGGTCCATGGACACACAAGTCTCCCTCCACCGGATCCACAATAGCTACCTGTCTCGAGACTGTAAATGTCTACCCAAGGGAGAAAAACTCCAAGTCCACGACATGACATGAACAAACACCGTGTAGCCAACCAGTTGTATTTCACGCCACAGTATGACCCCTTTTGCCCTTGTGACCTCTTCTAGATTTCGTCATTCACGTACGTAGTAGGAAATCTCACGGATTTAATACTTCGCGAACGAGTCCTCCAAGTCTCCTGAGGCTCGAGGGAGGGCTTGGACCTTGAGTGGACGACATACCCGTGAAATTGACAAAGAAACGACGCAGTCAAAGATAATAGCCAGAGAATGAGTGAGCGAGACTCATTCGCGCTTAAATCTGAGATGGGAATAAAAGACAAGGGAATATGGAAGTGAAAGAGAAGGGAAGGCGAGGAGAAGCGCGCTGTAAAATCTGATAGATGATCATCATCGACGTATGTGATTGAGCCTCGTCTTCACGCCTGATACTGCTCGGTATATGGGCAGGAAAGAAACCACCTGAGCGGCTGGCGATCGCGGCGATATCTGATATCCGATTCCCTGTCCTACCCTACTCGGGATCTATATGTCAATCCATCTGGCCATCCACTTCTCGGTTACCTGTTGGGACCTCTGTTAGTCTGGCTTGGGAGATGACAAATGACAAGAGACATAGAAGAGTTTTTCGGGTAGCCCAGGAAATGCTGTACTTACGGCTTTTGCTTCGTCGACCAGGCCCAACTCAAGAAGGAGCTGGACACTCGCTCGAACGCCACTCTCCAGAGCACTCGAGATCCAAGAGCTGGTATAGCTGGTCCCTTCGCCGCTCATAATGATACCCTGCTCCGTCTTGAAAAAGGCCGGGATGAACGCCTTCCTCATTCCAATGTCCGGGCTAGCCCAGCTAATGGTCTCGTACTGATCCAGCACCCAGCAGCGCCGGTTGAAGGCCCCAGTATACTGCTCGTAGACCACAGGGCCGTGAATCTCGGCCATGGCGTCCACGACATATTGGACGTGAACGTCCTCCGGAATCGACGGCCAGCGCAGCCCGTCGTCAGAGGATGTGTAGCTTGCGAGCATGACCCCCATCCCAGTCGAGTTGATATCGTAGCTTGGGTAGCAGATGCTTCCAATACCGGGGATATCGGTGGTCGTGCTGCAGGAGCCATAGATGGGGTTCTCGAAATGCTCCCAGAAGCGGGTCTTGAACTGGAGTGCCACCTTACATACTTGGGAGTAAGGGTAGCTGTCGATGGCCGTCTTAAGAAGATCCGAGAACGCCGGGAGACGCCAGGTTCGGACGAGCGGCATAGGAACAGTCACGACCGCTAGGTCATAGCTTGCGTTCTGGAACGTACTGTCGAGTGGTTTGGCCTTCCATTGCAATGTCACCTTCTTGGTGCTCTCGTTGTATTGAACACGCTGGATCTTGCGATTCATGAACGTCACATCGTCCACAAGAGCTATGCGTTACCTATACGTTAGTCATTCCTTGTAAGGCTGCGCGAGAGTTGTACGTACGGTGAAAGGCACTGGGAAGACGGGTCAAGCCACCATCAATCGTCCTCCAGTCAGTTGCGGAGAAGTACTAAAGTAAAACGAGATGTCAGCGCCGTCAGTCGAGACCAGATCTCAAAAATGGTGTGGCTTGTGTCAACCTGCAAGAGTAGATTGTCAGTGTGGATAAAGGCAGGCACCAGCTCACCATTGATTCAAAGAGATTATCCCAAAAACTCTCACTTCCAGAACCTCCGAGCTCAACGAAGGTCTCATTCAGCGCATAACCCAGGACATTGTGAGCATAGGCGAATTCGGAAAAGTCGTCGCCACCCAATCCACCAAGTCCTTGGTCTAGGAATGTCTTATGCGCCATGTATATGTTTCGAGCCATCTGGTCGATGAAACTACCGTTTTCGTAGATAACGTTCAGCTGCTCGTCAAGTGCATCCAGCTTGGGGTCGTCTGGCTGAGAAGAAGTCGTCCCAAGCAATGATGCATTCGCTCGCACTTCTGACACCGTCGGAACTTGACCGTTGGGTTTCCGAGCGCCGTTAATGTAGTATAGTCCATTTGGCGAACTTTGGTACCATTTGATGAAATTGACCGTGAAATTGGTATTGTTATTGTTCAGTCTGTTGACTTCAGCAGCCAGATCAAAAACAATGCGGTGATCTTGGATCTGGATCGTCTGGTTCGTCTCAGATGACGTGTACGATAGTGGGAAACGCATTGGGCCCATTTCTTGATACTGTCTCTCACTTGGGTCGCCGAAGTAAGCAGTATGGACCCTTCCGCCCAGCCGCTGAGCTGCTTCGATAAGAGAAAGATTTGTCATGCCGGATTGGTTGAGGGCCAACCAAGTCATGAGACCAGCCATGCCAGCACCGACGATGGCGATTTCTTTGGATTTTGCTTCTTGGACATTGACCGCACTGATCTCTTTGTTCTTGAGGGCAACTACTCCGTCGAACCATGGACCTTCCGCATCAATACCGCTCGAGTTGTCCATCTGGATGGAGAAGTCGGCCTGGCGCTTTTTGAGGCGTCTGCGCTTGGTCTTTGCGTTAGGTGCAATGGACACCGGAGCACTTCGCCCAAGAAGGTTCTGTCTTGCGTCCCATGCTGAGAGACAATGGCCCGTGGGAGTGTCTTCGGGGACTTTCCACAAAAGCCTATCGTGGTCACAGGAATTGGACCGGGCAACAAGATGGTGCGCTTCTCCCGGAGTCTTAGCCTTGCAAGGACCATACGTGAACGCGACCTCTGTGGTGATGGGTTTGTCATAGGACACGTGGATATTGGCAAGACTCGAGTCAACAGCTCGCTTCAAGTGCAGCTTCACTGGCAAAGAGACAGCCAGTACACATGGCAAAATCAAGACTGACAGCAATAGTTGACGGGCCATTATGAGCGCCAATACTCTCCACCGAATCTAGTGTAGATTAGATGGACAAAGTCTTGTAGACCTGACTGGCAAGCATGGGTCTTTGTATACAAATCCCAGCTCGTTTATCCGTGAATCCGACCTCCAAACTTGACCTTCCCCAGCCTTTGTGGAGGTTCTGGATATCGGTACATCTAGAGAAGTCGTTCAAATCCGATGTACAATGCATGGTGATGATTGGTTTAGATTAGTAGGTTGCATGCGAGGAGGACACTCTGCGACCTGCCACATCTAGTAAAGATGATTAGACAGGCATCAGTCGATTCCTGTGTTGAGTTGATTTATGCAGATCATCTCGTGGGCCGCGGTTACCGAGCCGAAAGAACTCACTAGCTGGGATGGGAGAGACTGTTGCCTGATCATTGTGCGCTCATGGACGTGATATCATTACCTGGCACATCTGTGTAGCTTCATGTTGCTTCACTCCGGTCTTTGGCATAGCCTTGTTTGTGGCTCGTACGGTATTTCTCTTTGCCAAACGCCCTGGCATCTTACTGAGCACGAACGTGCCATGAGACACAAGCATTATGCGAATCAGGGACCAGAACTTGATCCTTCTTTCCTCATGCGTCGATACGATGATCTCTCGGCAAGAGGCTAGGTAGATAAGGATGGATATTCTGACTAATGGAGGAACTCGAGTCAGAAGCTATACGTTGGTTAAACCGTTGATCCATAAAGGAATAATGCGCATTCGTTGGCAGATCTGGGGAGAGAGGGCCGTAACGACAGCCGGAAGGATTTGCCTTGCCCCACAGAAACCGGCGGTGATGGCAATATAGATGACAATCGAAAATACGAATGGGACAGGATAGCGAAGAATGTGGGGGTTGAATTGGCTTGATAAGAAGATGACTTTGGTACCTCGTATCAAGCTTTGTATTGAATTCTTATGCACCCGCGGCCTGTCGACGGAAGCGGGGAGAACATTGTTCCGTGCCGATCCCGCCTGCGGAAGAAGTGTTCCGATCCTCCGAAATCACGTGGGTTGTCTGCCCATTCGCATTTCTTCTCGCTGTTGAGCGTCGCTTCGTGGCGTCGAGCCGTCCCGTTCTGAAACGCCTTGAAACACCATCACCTGCTCGCTGTGCGCCTTGTTTGACGGGAAATCAACTTCGCCTGCTCTCAACAGCCCCATCGATACACTAGGCGGCTCTGCTCCCAGATCCATTCCCGCCACAAGAGTGTTGCCCCAACGCTAGCAACGACCGTTGAAATAAAACATACCTTTCTGAAAACTGCCTCGAACCTTAAACAGTTTTGATGAGGGAAAAAGTGTGACCAATTTACCAATGATAAACTCAGGCTGCTCGGCCAGCCGTGTTGTTGCCTGCACGTACCCGACTACTCTGGAACGGTTGAGCGCAAGGCGTCTTGCCGGAGGCGATGTGACACTAAAGATGAGTCCATCAATCAGATGTTGGCACCTAGCCAGGCCAGGGCCAGCCTTTCCAGCCGCTTCTTGTGGGGTCCAGACCAGATCAACAGACAACTCGAGCTAATCTCGACTACTTGTGCGGGCACTTTCGCCATGGAAAGAGAATGCCAGGGCTCAAAGTGCGGCCTACTCTATATTGTACGAGTAGCGGGGCAGTCGGTTGCAGGGTTCAAAGCCAAATCTGGCTCGCCTGAACCGCATTGACATTTGAGACCTAGCCCTCCCGCCGCGTGGCGCAAAAACGTCTGAGCAGAGAGCCAGCCTTATCTGGCAGACAGCCTGTCTGGACGGCTTATTGGCTTTGCTCCCAGTCTCTTGTTTGTCATCATCGCCATCCTCAACACCGCATCTATCGCGATGGCGAACAGGTCGTTTCAGCAAACATCCCCAGTGAAGAGAAAGCCGCTGCCACGAAACTCAAGACACAGCAGTGCTTTCTATGATGGCGCCTTACAAGATGACGCATATCCTATGATCTCCTTCGACGACAGATCCTCCTGGGCCCTGCCTCCTTTTCCAGACTTCAATCACGCAGAGGCTGCATACGACCCTCAGACGTATCTCGACGCCCCGAGTCCGACCCAGCATCACGGCAAGATCGCCGGACAACAACAGGTTGGCAGCAGTCATAGCTTCGAGACCTCTTCTCTTCCGGATCAGTGGGAAGACTCTGAGGCATCTAGAAAAGCCCCGTTCGTCTGGCAAAATGACATCCCCCAAAACAAGAACGCGCAAGTTCTTCCGCGAACGTGGAACCCGACTTGGTTACGCAAACCAATTCTGTTTGGATTTATTTTACTCTTTTTAGCCCTGATCGCCGGCCTGATCATCCTGTGGCGATTTGCGCAAATCGAGAATGGAATCAGAACTGCCATCACAAGCAATCATTATGCATGGACTTATGGTCCGACCGCACTGCTCGTTGTGATCCTTGTGCCCTGGAGACTGGTTGACTTCCATTGCCGAGCTTTGGCACCATGGTCACATCTTCGGCATGGCCCAGCGCCGGCCAAGGAATCTCTACTCCTAGACTATATCTCGCCTCCTTTACCCCTAGCTCTGGCAAAAGCTGTACCAAACCACGATTGGGCCGTGGTGGCTAGTGGTGTGGGTATGCTGCTACTGAGAATTGTCATCGTCTTCAGCACTGGTCTGCTTGTACTTACACCGACCTCCGACACCAAAGTCGTCTCTGATGCTCTTGTGAACTCAAAATTCGTGGGCACGAATTTCACAATTGGGCCTTCTGCCATTGACACCGAACTGATGGAGTTCTACGGCATACAAGAACGGGGGCTCAATTATCAATACGGCACGTCAGCGAGTGTCGCATATGATACTCTTGACTTACAATCTCTACCTGCAAACTCAACCGTGACAGCAACGGTGAACGGCGTGTTCCCTTTCTTCGACTGCGAAGTGGTCACACCGGAAGTGATTGGCAACAATTTTACTTGGTCGAACGATGGTTCATACCCTTACGGAGATCTCCTAGAACTGAGGCTTACACTGTCTCCTGCTCATTGTCCTCCAATGTCGTCCTACTACCAGTTGTGCCAGGCACCCAATTGCCCTGTTGGGCGATCCATCATCTCTGACGAGAGCTGGAACACATTCGGTCCACCAACTGACGATCTTGATCCATGTTCCAACCTCTACGCGCTCACCTTGATAGACATCACATTTGAAAAGGTCACAGGGCACCCCCAAAATACTAGCGCTGCCTGGAACGTCAACTTGGCCGAATCGGTTGGACTAGTTTGTTCTCGCGGATACACGATCGACAAGGTCAACATTACGATCAATACCGCCGATCCCACCTCAAAGGGCGGAGTTAACACGACCGGGCCGCTGGAGCGCGTGGCAGATGTGCTGCCTGGATACTCATACTACAATCTGAGTATGGCTTTCGAGAATGAAGTCTTCGTAAATAGCCTTCCCCCTACACCAGAAGCTCCGAAGATATATGACTTTGCCAACTTCTTCGCCATCCTCGCGGGCGGATCCGCTGTTGATCTTTTAAATGCCACAATATTGAGAACCACTGCCGAAAAAGCGTTCAAGGGCGTGGGTGTTCAACTTGCCCATTCATATCTACGCAAACGTGACAACGCCACAACCACAGCCAGCGTTGTATATCAGGAACCAAGACTTCAAGTCCGAGAGCTGAGCGTGTGGGCCATGTGCGCAGGGTTTGCTTTGCTGGCACTCGCCGCTGCCGCTGTTCTCCAATGGCGCACAACAGACGTGGTCTCGCGGCAGCCCAACTCTATTGGCGCTCAAGCAGCTATACTTGCCGCAAGTCCAACGCTTCAGAGGTCGTTGGAAGCAGTCTCGAGCTACTCAAGTGCACAGTCCAATGCTCATCTCGAGGATTTAGTGGCCACTTCTTCCTTTGACAGTGGGCGTGCAAACCCGGAATTCTGTATCAAGACCACCGTGCAGGAAGGAACTCAACAACGACCAGCCGATGAACACAGCAATCATTCTTGGTGGGAAACTAGCTCTACCACACCCTGGTTCATGTCAGCAGCTCTTGGGCTACCGCTCACGGTCATTGCGGTTTTGGAAGTCTTGCAACGCGAATCAGACGCCCACAACGGGTTGGTCACCATTTCAAGCTCTGGTATCTATCGTTCACTGCCGACAATCCTTACGTCAGTCGTTCTGATATGTATCGCAATCATGTACGATGCGATCGATTTCGCTGCAGCGACACTTGCCCCGTATCAGGCTTTGACTCGTGGAAGTGCGCCGGCAAAGCAGACATTGCTGAGGACATCATCCGGCGAGCTCCCAATTTGGTCCACGTTGAAAGCGGTTCGTGAGCGCCATATGGAAGCTGCTGTTGCATCAATGGCTGCCCTGATTGGCAGTTTGTTGACAATCATCGCTTCGGGCCTTTATACTATTGAAGCCGTCCCAGTTGTTCTCGGTGTTTCCGTCACCGCGTCCGACAAATTTGTGCCCTCATTCGGGACTACATCAGACGGGTCGGCTGGTGCTATTTTCACACTGATCGAACAGAACAACGCGTCTTACCCAGCATTTACATACGATGGACTGGCATTTCCGAAGATCGAGCCCTCTTCCTTAGGAGCCGAGGCTCTGAAACAGCTGGACGATTCTGCAAGCCCAGTAACCCTTCACGCCGATGTTGTGGCTATGAGGGCATCACTTAACTGCACCTTGGTCCCCCGAGAGAACATGAACATGACGATGCAGGGAGCACCCAGTGCTCATGCTGATCCTAGCTGTCGAGACAACCACATCACGTTCTACGCCGATCTACCCCCGACATGCCCACACTTCTTGACTGGAGACAATGAATTAGTGACGAATATTACGTTCGCGACTGATGTACAGCATAATTGTGGGGATCCAGGTGGTCTTTCCATACATGAGCAAGTGGTTCTCAACAACCAGGGCGCGACAGACGCATTCCTCACCGATGATAACGTAGGGTATACCTTGGGGGCGGCAAGCAATCCCCCTGGATGCCCATCCTTGGCATTCATGTCTG